AAAATATGGGGAGGGGGATGGTGATGGGATGGGGGAAGGCAAATGGGAAAGGAAGCAAAATTTGGTGATGGTTGAACTGGAATTGGGGTGGAGGAAATGGGGGGGAATAAAATGGGGAGGGGGAGAGGAAAATGAGGGACCTAAAAGTGAGGGGGGGAACTAAAATCAGGGGATGTGGGGGTGGGGAGGAGGGATGGGGTGTTGCACCTTTGGGGAGTGGGATTTGGGGATGGAGCCTTGGGTGTAGTGGGGGAGGGGCACTGGGGGGTCCCCAGGACCCCCTAGAGATTCACTGGGAGATTCTGGGGTGCCTCCCAGGTTTGGAGGGCTCCAGGACCCCGCTGTGGGGATTCAGGGGGACCCCAGGGTGACACCCCGATTTTGGGGACCCCTGCCCCCTCCACAGTGTCAGGTTACCCCTCCCCCAGGGACACAGCAAGGCTGAGGGACCCCAGTAGTGGCATTTTGAGGGGGGGAGTCCCCAGTTTGGTACCACTCCCCCCGTTCGGTTTCCCAGGGATATTGGGGTGCCCTCAGCACCCATTTTTGGGGGGTTTGCCCCCCACCCCCCAGGTTTATGGGGACATCAGGTTTATGGGGCCCCAAGTTTGTTCGTTCTCCCATTTCCCCAGTGCCATACTGGGGCCCCTCCCCCACCCCCCAGAGCTTCTATTTTTGACACTGGAACTGCCCCCCGAAACGGGGGCGCGGCCCCTTTAAGAGCCCTGCCCTCCCCTTTGTAGAGATTTAAATTACCTGTTTAATGTGCGGGGAGGGGCGTGGCTTTCTCCTGTCCCGCCCCTCAGAACAGGCCCCGCCCACACGCACCTTTCACCTGCTGTTGCTTTCTTAGCCCACGTCCTTTTATGGTAAAGGGGCGTGGCCTGAGCTGCTTAAGCCACTCCCACTCCCCGCCCCCCCGCGCTGCCTTCAGGGAGTTTCGCGCTGAAGCCATAACCCCGCCCCCTCCCCTTGGCCCCGCCCCCTTGGCAGAATTTAAAGAGACCGCGAGGAATTATTTTTGTTAAAAGTAATAAAAGTTTTAAGGAGAAAAATAAAACATTCTCTGATCTTTGAGAAAGGCATCGGGGTCTGGAGGAGACCCTGGCGTGCCAAGGGTCCCTCCCAGACACGTGAGCCCCCCCAAATTTGAGGGAGGGTCTCACCTCCCAGTCCCAAACACCTTCTCCAGCAGGCTCAGGGGGGGCGCGGCCGGGGGGGGCCGAGCTTTGCGCCGCCAAATCTCCTCCTCGGTCGGTCTTTGGGTGAAGCCCCAGGTCGGGGCAGGGGCCGCGGGGTCTCTGGAGGTTTTGGGGGGGTCTTTGGAGGCTTGGCGGGCGTAGAACCCCCCCTCCCTCTTGGCCTGGGCCACCTCGGCCCGCAGGCGCTGCGCCCGCACCTGGCGCTCGTAGCTGAGCCGCTCGCTCAGGTGAGGCCACCGGAACCCGGGCAGGTACTGGGGGGGTGGGCACAGGTCAGGGGACCCCCAAAGAACCTCAGACCGCCCTCCCCAATAAGGTTTTGGGGTGCTCAAAACCCCCCTCAGCTGCCGGGCCAGGTGTGTGGGAGGGGTCCCCCAACACAGCCCCACCCCCACTACCGACTGCCCCTCCCCCAGTGTCGGGGACCCCCTTGAACCCTAAAACAGGAACCCCCAGTGGGTCAAAACCACCCGAGACCCCCCCAAAAAAAGGACCCAGATGCTCCCAACAAATCTGGGACCCCCAAAAGAGACCCAGGGCTACCCCAGCCCCTCACCCATAAAAAGTCCCAGTGACCCAGGAACCCACAGGTGCCCCGCCCTTCCTCCCCCAGGGCACCCAAAGGTCTGAGACCCCCCAAAAAAGGGATCTAAGCCCCCCCTAAAACAGTTCTGGACCACCCAGGACCCCCCGAGCCCCCTCCCCAGGAGCCCCCGAGCCCCACCTTGATGCTCCAGCAGTGATGGCGGAAGGGGCTGCGGGGCCGGGGGGCCATGGGGGCCCCGTGCAGGATTTTGGCCGCGCGTTTGGCCGCTCGTTTGTCCCGGAATTCCACCCAGCCCTCGGCGAACGCCACGGCCGGGGGCCCCCCCGGGCGCTGCCGCCGCCGCCGCACGGAGCCTCCTGCGGGAACGGGGAGGGGGCGCTGAGAAACGGGGCTGAGACCCCCACCCAAGGGTGCTGAACCCCCCTCCGTGGGTGTCAGCCGGGCTGGGAGGGACCCTGACCCCCAAATTCTGCAAACCCCCCAGCCCCCCGCCCCGGGACCCCCGGACTCACCGCGGGGCTGCAGGAAGACCCTGCCCAGCTCCCCGTGCGGCCGCAGCAGCGCCCGGGCCTGGCGGGGCCCGAAGCCCGGCGGGAGGAAGGACAAGTAAAGGACCCCCGGCACCACCGGCTTCGGGGGGGGGTCCGAGGGGGCTTCGGCAGCGGGGGAGCCCTCGGGACCCTCCTCTTCCTCCTCCTTTTCTTCCTCTTCTTCCCCCTCCTTTTCTTCCTCTTCTTCCTCTTCCTCTTCCTCCTCCTTTTCTTCCTCCTCTTCCTCCTCCTCCTCCTCGCCCCTCCCGTGCGGGTCCCGCTCGGTCCCAGCCATGGCCCCTGCGATGGGCAGGAGGGAGTTAAAAGGAGGCGACCACCCCCAGGGCCCTCCCCCCCACCTTTCCAGGCTCTGCCGCACCCCCGAATTCCCCCGGGGACCCCCAAAATCCCCCCCCGGCCCCGCACCCGCACAACGCGGCCGGCCGCGGTCGTAAAACACTAACACAACCGTAAAGCACCGCTAGCAGGGGGCGGGGAGTCGCGAAAAAGCCGTAAAGCGCGGAGGAGCGTGGCCTAGCTTTAGGGGGCGGGATTTACGTGATGGGGCGTGGTTACACAGGGAGGGGGCGTGGTTACACTTAGGGGGCGTAGACTATTTTGGGGGCGTGGCATGGCGGCGGCGGGAAGCGCGCGCCGCGGTTTGGGCGGGAACGGCTGAGGCGGAGTTTTGGCGGGAAAGGCCCCGCCCGCTCTGGGGCCCCTCGAACCCCCCCCCAATGCCTCCCCACAACCTCCCCGGGACCCCCCGACACCCACTGACCCCTCCCCCGACCCACTGACTCGCCTAGTGTCCCCTCCTTGTCCCTTTAGGACCCCTCGAAGTTCTCCTGGGTCACCCCCCTCCATGTCGCCCACAGACCTCCCCCCGCCCCGTGCGTCTCCATGGCCCCCTGAGCCCCCCAAATATTCCCAGAGTTCCCTCTCAGGTCCCCAGAGCCCCTCCAACGTCCCCCTCAGCCCTCCCCACCCCGTGTCCCCCCTCCCTCATCTGGTGCTGGGGGGGTCCTGGCTGCAGATGAGCAGTGGATTATTCCCCCCCCCCTAATCCGGCAGCTGGGGGGGATTAGGGCCCTTCTGGCCCCCCCCAAACCTCCCGAGGGGCTCAGCCCCACCATGGGACCCTCTGGGGATGTGCTCGGGGGGGAGGCACCCCTAATCCCCCTGACCCCTCCCCAATAATTAACATCTGGTTTATTTGGGGGAGGGGGCAGGGGGATGCGGGAGTTCAGCCAAGCTGGGGTGGGAGGGGGGGCTCTCTCCTCCTCCCCCCTTCCCCATCAGCATCTGGAGGGAACCCGAGGGGAGGAACTGGGGGGGATTTGGGGGGGCCAGGACGGGGGCGGCTCCAGTCCCCAGTGGCTGCACAGGGACAGGAGCACCCACGGGCCAGGTGAGCGGGATGGGGGCACTGGGACCCCAACCTGGGGGGTGCTGGGGACCCCCAAACCTCCCTCTGAGATGGGGATAAACCCCCCTGCCCCATGGGAGGCTGCCCCCAACATCGGGGGTGTCCCTGCCTCATGGGGTGTCATTACCCCCTCCCCACTCCCCACAGGGTGTCCTCCCCACCCCAATGGGTGCCACCCCTCACTTCCTGGGTGCCCCCCATGTAGCCCCCCTCTTGGAGTCCCCCCCCCCCCCCCCAGGGAGTCACCCCTGCCCCATGGGGTGCCACCACCACTGCCCACCCTGCTGACCCCCCTGGTGACCCTGCTGTCCCTGTACCCCCCTGTCACCCACCCTGCCCCACAGGGAGCCACCTCTGTCCCATGGGGTACCACCCCCACCCCAGCGTGCCACTGCTGCCCACCCTGCTGTCCCTGTGCCCCCCTGCCCCACAGGGAGCCACCTGTGCCCCATGGGGTACCACCCCCATCCCAGCATGCCACCACTGCCCACCCTGCTGTCCGTGTGCCCCCCTGGCACCCACCCTTCTCCACAGGGAGCCACCTCTCCCCCCATCACCCCCTAACCCCCCTGTCTCTGCCCATGGGGTGCCACCACCACTGCCCACCCTGCTGACCCCCCTGGTGACCCTGCTGTCCCTGTACCCCCCTGTCACCCACCCTGCCCCACAGGGAGCCACCTCTGTCCCATGGGGTACCACCCCCACCCCAGCGTGCCACTGCTGCCCACCCTGCTGTCCCTGTGCCCCCATCACCCCCTAACCCCCCTGTCTCTGCCCCCAGCCCACCATGCCCGCCCCGCTGGTGTCCCCACTGCTGGCCCTGCTGCTGTCCCTGCTGTCCCTATGCCCGCCGTGCCGCTGCCCCCCGGCGCCCACCCAGCCCCACGCCATCCGTCTGGAGGGTGACCTGACTCTGGGGGGGCTGTTCCCGGTGCACGCCCGCGGCCCCGCCGGGGTGCCCTGCGGGCCGGTCAAGAAGGAGAAGGGCATCCACCGGCTGGAGGCCATGCTGTACGCGCTGGACCGCGTCAACGGCGACCCGCGCGTGCTGCCCAACCTGACGCTGGGCGCCCGCATCCTCGACACCTGCTCCAGGGACACCTACGCCCTGGAGCAGGCGCTGAGCTTCGTGCGCAGCCTGCTGCCCCCCGAGGGGGGCGAGGGCAGCTGCCCCGACGGGTCGGCCCCGCGCCGGCCCCCGCCCGAGCGCCTGGTCGGGGTCATTGGGGCGTCCGCCAGCTCCGTGTCCATCATGGTGGCCAACGTGCTGCGGCTGTTCGCGGTGGGTTGGGGGGATTTGGGGGTGCTGGGGACATGGAGGGACATTGGTGTCTCCGCCAGCTCTGTGTCCATCGTGGTGGCCAATGTGCTGCGGCTGTTCGTGATGGGTTGGGGGGATTTGGGGGTGCTGGGGACATGGAGGGACATTGGTGTCTCCGCCAGCTCTGTGTCCATCGTGGTGGCCAATGTGCTGCGGCTGTTCGTGATGGGTTGGGGGGATTTGGGGGTGCTGGGGACATGGAGGGACACTGGGGACATGGGGGGATATTGGGGACATTAAGGGGCATTGGGGACGTAGAGGGGCATTGGAGATGGGGGACATGGAGGGATATTGGTGCCTCTGCCAGCTCTGTTGCCATCATGGTGGCCAAGTTTCAGCGGCTCTTTGTGGTCACTGGGGGTGTCTGGGGCATTGGGGACACACCTGGCACACCTGGGGTGTCTGGGGCATTGGGGGGGTTGTTGGGGACATTGAGGGGGTGTTGGGGACGTTTGGGGGAATGTGGGGGGTGTTTTGGCTGGGGGAGACTGAGGGGACATGGGACAGCACTGTCCCTACAGTGTCCTCATGGTGTCTGCTCCCTGTGAGGGGGGGCCTGGACACCTGGTCCCCCTCTGTTCCCCCTCCCCATTCCAAGTCCCTTCCAGAACCTTCCCCTCCCGCCCGTGTCACCCACAATCCCCTGGGATGGCAGCAAATGGCCCAGGGGGATTAGGGGGGATTAGGGACAGAGAAAGGGGGGGTCCCACAGTGCCAGGTCCCCCGGGTGTTGCCCAGGTCTCCCCCCGCATGTCCCCAATGTCCCCCTTGTCCCCAGCCCCAGGGCTAAGCCCCCGTGCCCCTCCCCTCTGTTTCCCATGTCCCCTCACTCTCCCCAATGTCCCCAATGTCCCCACTGTCCCCCCAGACCCCTCCTACATCAACAGCTCCCCACTGACCCCCCAGCCCCATGATGCCCCCAACCCCCCCAATGTCCCCCTGTCCCTGACACATCCCCACGTCCTCAATATCCTCCTGTCGCTGACATGCCCCCGATGTCCCCAATGTCCCCAGATCCCCCAGATCAGCTACGCCTCCACGGCCCCCGAGCTGTCGGACCCCGGGCGTTACGAGTTCTTCTCGCGGGTGGTGCCGCCGGACTCGTACCAGGCGCAGGCCATGGTGGCCGTGGTGCGGGCGCTGGGCTGGAGCTACGTCAGCACGCTGGCCTCCGAGGGCAACTACGGCGAGAGCGGCGTCGAGGCCTTCGTGCAGAGCTCCCGCGAGGCCGGTGGGCTGTACTGGGTTATACTGGGAGCCACTGGGCCATACCGGGATGTACTGGGAGGGTCAGCTCTGCGGGGAAGGGGGAGGTTCTGCCCCATCAGTGACCACCAGTGACCAGTGAGGCCTGGGCAGGGCATCCACGCTGGTCTATACCAGTCCGTACTGGTTTATACTGGTGTGTACTGGGGCAGGGGGCCTGTGCATCGCCCAGTCCATCAAGATCCCGCGGGAGCCGAAGCCAGGGGAGTTCGCCAAGGTTATCGGGCGCCTGATGGAGACGTCAACCGCACGTGGGGTCGTGCTCTTCGCCAACGAGGACGACATCCGGTGCGCCCCAGTCCACACCAGTCCTGCCCCAGTCCCTCCCCAGTGCTCCTCAGCCCACTGGAGTTCATCCCAGTGTAGTCAGGTCCCCTCCCAGTAGCTCCCCAGTCCAACCCAGTGACCTCCCAGTCCTTTCTGTCCATGGCAGTAGCCTCCATTGTTCATCCCAGTAGTCACCCAGTTACTTCCCAGTCCCCCAGTAGCCCGCAGTCCATCCCAGTGGCCCCCAGTACTTCCCAGTTTGCCCAGTAACCATGTCTGTCGCCACAGGCGGGTGCTAGAGGCCGCCACGCTGGCCAACCTCTCGGGCCACTTCTCCTGGGTGGGTTCGGACAGCTGGGGGGCCAAGATGGCACCAGTGCAGGGCCTGGAGGAGGCGGCACACGGGGCCATCACCATCCTGCCCAAACGAGCCTCGGTGCCCGGTGAGCGCTGGGAGGGACTGGGAGCACTGGGAGGTTATTGGGAGGGACTGGAGCAAACCAGGATGGGCTCGGGGAGACTGGAGATTGCTGGAGGGGTCCTGGGGGGGGGCTCTGGAGTGGGTTTGGGGGTTCCAGGGGGGCTCTTAGGGTGTTTAGGGGAAGACCTGAGGGTTTTGGGCGGCTCTGAGGGGCTCATGGGACACTCCAGGATTCTCTGGGGTCCCTATCACCTTGTGGGGTCCCCTGTGACCCTGTGGGGTTCCCCCCGACCCCGCGGTGTCCCCGTGCCCCCCAGGCTTTGACGAGTACTTCACGTCACGCTCTCTGGAGAACAACCGCCGCAACCTGTGGTTCCACGAGTTCTGGGAGGATGACTTCAACTGCCGCCTGCCCCACGGCACCGCGCCCCACGGAGACCCCGCGGGGGCACCCGGAGCGCCCGTGCGCAAGTGCACAGGTACCCTGCCCCACGGGGACCCCATGGGGACCCCACAGAGACCCTGCCCTATAGGGATCCCATAGGGACCCCATGGAGACCCCATAGGGACCCTGCCCCAGAGACCACACTGGAACCCCCATAGATGGGGGTGCTGGGGACATGCCTATAGGGATCCCATAGGGACCCCATGGAGACCCCATAGGGACCCTGCCCCAGAGACCCCACAGGGACTCCCATAGAGACCCTATAGAGACCCCACAGAGGCCCTGCCCTATAGGGACCCCAGAGAGACCCCACAGGTAAGTTTAAGGTGTCCCTGGGAGGTTAAGGGTACCTATTTGGGGTCCCCAGGGTGGAAGCACATTGGGCGGGACTCACCCTAGAGCAGAAGGGGAAGATGGGGTGTCCCTGGTGGGTTTGGGGTGCCCATGGCAGGTTTAGGGTGCTGTTTCAGGTTTGGGGTGGCCGTGGAGGATTTAGGGTGCCCATTTGGGGTCCCCCAGGGCGGGAGCGCATCGGGCGGGACTCGCCCTACGAGCAGGAGGGGAAGGTGCAGTTCGTCATCGACGCTGTGCTGGCCATGGCCCATGGGCTGCACTCGATGCTGGGCGAGGCCTGCCCGGGCGGGGGGCTCTGTGCCCACATGGACCCCCCCGACGGGCGCCGCCTGCTCACCCACATCCGCAGGGTGGCCTTCAACGGTACTGGGGGCACTGGGAACCTACTGGGATAAGGTGGTGGGGGCACTGGGAGGGAGTTGGAGGTGCTGAAGACCATACTGGGAATTACTGGGAGGTATTGGGATATACTGGGAGGCACTGGGAAGGTGATGGGGGCACTGGAGGCCATACTGGGACATACTGGGAAGCACTGGGATGTACTGGGAGGAACTGGGAAGAACATGGCAGCACTTGAGACCATACTGGGATGTACTGGGAGCCACTGTGGGGCAGTGGGAAGGGTATGGGAGCACTGGTTTGCCCTGTACCGGGGCCATGCCGGGGCTGGGGGGTCACTGACCTTTCCTGCAGCGTGGCGGGGGGTGTCCCTGAGCTAGACTGGTAGTTACTGGTTTATACTGGTCCATACTGGTACGCAGGCAGCGCGGGGACTCCGGTGTCCTTCAATGAGAACGGGGACGCCCCCGGGCGCTACGACATCTTCCAGTTCCAGGGGGGCAACGGCACCGGGGCCTACCGGGCTGTGGGGCAGTGGGTGCAGGGGCTGCACCTTCAGGTGGGTCCGGGACCGCTGAGCCCCCCAGAGCCCAGGGATGCCAACCAGGGGTGCCCCCTGTGCCCCCCAGGGTCAGCCCCAGTGGCCAATTGGGGGCACTGGCTGGGGGATGCTGTGTTCCCCCTGGGTGGGTGTCCATGGGGGGCTTGGGGGAACCATGGGGTACCTGTGGGGGTGTTGGGGTGTCCATGGGCGGTTTGAGAGGGTCCATGAGGAGGTTTGGGGTGTCCTCAGGGGTGTTTGGGGTGTCCATGGAGGGTTTGGAGGAACCATGGGTGGCCTGTGGAAAGTGCTTGGGGTGCCCCTGAGGAGGTCGGGGTGTTCATGGGGTGTGTTTGGGTTTTCCATAGAGTGTTCAGGGTGCCCCTGGGGTATTTGGGGTGTCCATGGAGGGTTTGAGGTGTCCATGGTGGGTATTTGAGTTTTCCATTGGCTGGTTAGGGTGTCCATGGAGGGTTTGGGGGATCCATGAGATGTCCGTGAAGGGTTGGGATGTCCATCGGGTGTTCAAGGTGTCCCTGGAGGGTGTCCCTGACCGTCCCCCCACCAGGAGGACGCCATGGCCTGGGGCTCCAACTCGTCGTCGCCGCCGCCCTCGGTGTGCAGCCTGCCGTGCGGCCCCGGCGAGCGCAAGAAGCCGGTGAAGGGGGTTCCGTGCTGCTGGCACTGCGAGCTCTGCGGGGGCTACCAGTACCGGGCCGACCTGCTCACCTGCCTGCCCTGCGCCCCTCACCTGCGCCCCACGCCCAACCGCACCGCCTGCCGCCCCACACCCGTGCTGCGCCTGAGCTGGGGCGACCCCTGCGCCGCCGTGCCGCTGGCCCTGGCCACGCTGGGGCTCATGGCCACCGCCTTCGTGCTGGCCACCTTCGTGCGGCACCACGAGACGCCGATCGTCAAAGCGTCGGGGCGCGAGCTGAGCTATGTCCTGCTGGCCGGCATCGCCCTGGTCTACGCCATCACCTTCCTCATGGTGGCCGAGCCCGGCGTGGGGGTCTGCGCCCTGCGGCGACTCTTCCTGGGGATGGGCATGAGCCTGACCTACGCCGCGCTGCTGACCAAGACCAACCGCATCTACCGCATCTTCGAGCAGGGTGAGGGGCTGGGGGGGCACAGGGTGAGGGGCTGGGGGGCACAGGATGATGGGCTGGGGCTGGGGTCTCACCTGTGCCAAGCTCTCACCAAGACCAACCTACATCTTTGAGCAGGGTGAGGGGCTGGGGGGCATGGGAGGGCACAGGCGGGGCAAGAGACTGGGGTGAGGGGCTGGGGTCTCATCTGTGCCATGCTCTTACCAAGACCAACCGCATTGCCACACCTTTAGGCAGAGTGAGGGGCACAGGGGAACAGCAGGGTGGGAAGACAGGGTGAGGGGCATTGGGGGTGGGAGCCTGGGGTGAGGGGCATGGGACAGGGTCCCCACCCTGTGCTCCTCACCGAGACCAGCCCCATCCCCAAGGGAGGTGACTTCCAGGGCCTCCAGAAGTGTTGGGCTTTCAGATCAGGCTGAGGGACGTGGGGTACCCTGACCCCCACCCCTTCAGGCCAGGCGAGCTCTGGGGGTGCCAGCAGCCCCCCGTAACCCGCCGTACCCCGCAGGGAAGCGCTCGGTGACACCGCCACGCTTCATCAGCCCCACCTCGCAGCTGGTCATCACCTTCACGCTCAGCGGGCTGCAGCTGGTGGCCGCGGCCACCTGGCTGCTGGTCCGGCCACCCCACGCCCTCATCGACTACGAGATGGGCCGGACCCCCGACCCCGAGGCGGCGCGGGGGGTCCTGCGCTGCGACATGGCCGAGGGGGCCACGCTGGCCTGCCTGGCCTACGCCCTGCTGCTGATGCTCACCTGCACCGTGTACGCCGTCAAAGCGCGCGGCGTCCCCGAGACCTTCAACGAGGCCAAGCCCATCGGCTTCGCCATGTACACCACCTGCGTGGTGTGGCTCGCCTTCGGGCCCATCTTCTTCGGCGCCGCCCAGTCGGCAGAGAGGGTGAGGAGGGGGATTTGGGGCTCCTGGGGGGTCTCTGGGGGTATTTGAGGGATCAGTGTGGGCACATATGGTCTGGTTTGTCTTTAGGCCCATCTTTTTGGCACCACCCAGTTGGCAGAGAGGGTGGGATGGGGGTTTGGGGTCCCTGGAGGTATTTGGGGAGTCCCTGGGAGGTCTCTGGAGGTATTTGGGGGGTCCCTGGAAGTCTTGGGGGATCACTGTGAGCATACATGGTCTGGTTCACCTTTGGGCCCACCTTCGGCACCACCCAGTCAGTAGAGAGGGTGAGGAGGGGGATTTGGGGGGTTCCTAGGGGCATTTGGAGGTCTCCTGGGGGCACTTGGGGGGGTCCCTGTTTTGGGGACAATGGGATTTAGCCATCAATGAGATTTTGGGCATCTGTGGGATTTGGGGATGCCCGTTTTTGAGGTCAGTGGGATTTCGGGGTACCGTTTTTGGGGCGCAGGTGCACGTGCACACAACCATGCTGACGGTGTCCATGGGTCCTTGGGACAGTTGGGTTGGGGCATGGCTGGGTTTGCAATGAGATTTTGGGCATCTGTGGGATTTGGGGATGCCCGTTTTTGAGGTCAGTGGGATTTTGGGATGGATGCTGACCAAGACCAAGGGATTTTGGGATCAGTGGGATTTTGGGGTACCGTTTTTGGGGTGCAGGTGCACGTGCAGACAGCCATGCTGACGGTGTCCATGGGTTACTGGGACAGTTGGGCTGGGGCATGGCTGGGTTTGGTACCGTTTTTGGGGATTTTGGGGTCAGTGGGATTTTGGGATCAGTGGGATTTTGGGGTACCGTTTTTGGGGTGCAGGTGCACACAGCCACGCTGACGGTGTCCATGGGTTACTGGGACAGTTGGATTGGGGCATGGCTGGGTTTGGGGGTGTCAGTGGGATTTTGGGGTCAGTGGGATTTTGGGATCAGTAGGATTTTGGGGTACCGTTTTTGGGGTGCAGGTGCACGTGCAGACGGCCACGCTGACGGTGTCCATGTCGCTGTCGGCCTCGGTGCCACTGGGGCTCCTCTACGCCCCCAAGGTCTACGTGATCCTGCTGCACCCCGAGCGCAACCAGCCCAAGCGGCGCGGTGCCGACCCCCCTCCTTAGGGACCCCCGGATTGGGGGACCCCCGGCACCCCAAAACCCCCAACCCCCAGAGCCCCCTCCCCACAATAAAGCTGCTCCCACAAACCCCCAGAAATGAGGTTTTTTTTGGGGTGAGACGGAGCTGGAGAAGGAGTGGCCGTGAGTTTATTGGGGTGCTGTGGGATTTTTTATGGGGGGGGGATTGAGGGGGATCCCCCGTTTTCAGGGACCCCCCCTACCAGCAGCTCCAGCCACCGTGTCAGAGTTGGAGGGTTTGGGGGTGCCTGCGGAGGAAAAGGGGGTTTGGGGGGGGGGGTCACTCCCAGGACCCCCTTGTGCCCACTTGAGACCCCCAAACCCACAAAGAACCCTAAACCCATCCCTAGGATGCCCAAGGGCCTCTGGGATGCCCCCAAATTGCCCTCAGTGACTCCCAAACCACCCCCAGGATCTCCCCCTGTGTCTGGGACCCCCAAAATTGCCCTCAGTGACCCCCAAGTGATCACCCAGGACACCCAAACCACCTCCAGGCACCCCCCAGTGCCCCTGGGAACCCCAGAATTGCCCTGACCCCCTCAAGGTTCTTCCCCCAGACCCCCAATCCACCCCCAGGGACCCTTAAATTGCCCCATGATGCCTAAACCTGCCCCACAGAGCCCCCAATCCCCTCTGATATACCCCCAAACTCCCCCAGGACACCCCCAAAGGACTCACAGGGATGGGGGGGGCCCCCTTTGGGGGCAGCAGTTGCACCCCCCCGCTCTGGGGGTACCCTGGCTCCACCTGCAGCGTCCAGAGGGTCTGGGCACCTCGGGGGCCCCCCAGGACCTGCAGGAGCCCCAACTCCGGCTGCCAGTCCAGGGCGAACCTGGGGGATCACCAGGGGGTTGGGTGAGCCCCCCAATTAACCCCCAGCCCCTCCAATCAATCCCCACCCTGGCAATTAACCCAAAGCCCCCCAGAAGTGCCCCAAAGACCCCCTGACCTTATACAAAGACCCCCCCAACCTCTCCCACAGCCCCCCCCAATTAACCTCCCAAATGCCACTAGCCCTCCCAGTTACCCCCTACTCCCTTCACACCTCCCTAAATACCCCCCAGCCTCTCTCAAAGTCCCCCCCCCCAGCCCCCCTCACCTGTTTCTCAGGTGTGTCACCTCTGCCCAGAGGCTCCAGCTGTCCCAGCAGCGCTGCTGCAGCTCCAGCAGCCCCGGGCCCAGGGGAGGAGACAGCCCCAGGGGGGGTTCCTGGGGTGAAAAAGGGGAGGTGGTGAGACCCCAAAACCACCCAGAACCCTCCCTGAACACCAAGTGCACCCCCACAGCCTTCCTGGCCCCTAAAAATTGCCCCCACCCCAGGTCTCCAGGTGCTCCCATAAATCCCCCCCCAAGCCTGCCCAGTGCCCCCTCAGCCAGCCCCCAATTCCCCCAAATCCTCCCCAGCCCCCCAAAATCCCCCCTAAGCCACTCACCTGCAGTCGGACCCCCCCGCTGGGGGTGAGGCACAGGTGAAGGGGGGGCAGGGAATGGGAGGAGCTGGGAGGGGGTCCCAGCTCCAGCTCCAACTCGGGGGTCCCTGGGGAGGGGGGCAGCACCTGGACCCCTGCCAGAGCCTGGTACAGGTGGCACGAGGCCCCCACCCTGCAGGAAATGACAGTCCGTGGGTGGGGGGGGACACGACCACCCCCCCAAAATTCCTGGGTTCCTCCCACTATCCCAGGAGCTCCACTTGGACCCCCACTGGGTCCCTTCCAGGTCTCTCCCCCTACCCTGAGGTCCCTCCAAACTCTTGGGCCCCTCTCAGGACCCTTGGACCACCCCCAAAATCCCAGGGGCTCACAACTCCACCCCTCACCCTCCTCACGTGTGGTCCCCCCATGACCCCCTCACCTGTCCCTCCCCTGTCCCCTCACCTGGCCGCTGTCCCCCGCAGTCCCTGCAGCGCCTCCTGCCCCCGCAGCCGCTGCAGGCGCCGCTCCTGAACCCGCCGGAGCAGCTGGGGGGAGAAAGAGACCCCACATTGGGGAGAAAAGACCCCAAATTAGGTGGAAAAGAGACCCCAAATTGGGGAGAAAAACCCCCAAATTAGGTGGAAAAGAGATCCCAAATTTTGGGGAAAAAATACTTCAAACTGGGAGAGAACAAGACCCCGAATTCAGGGGGAAAGAGACCCCAGATTGGAGGAGACAAACTCCAATTTGAAGGGGAAAATACCCCAAATTTGGGGAGAAAAACACCCCAGACTGCAGAGGAAAGAGATCCCAAATTGGGGGTAGACCCCAAGAGGAGAAGCAGCTAAGACTCGAAGTGGGAAGGAACCCCAGAATGAACCCCCCCACAGGCAGGGGCACCCCAAGTTAAGTGGGACTCACCAGGAGCCCCCACAGGACCCCAAAGGGTGTCCCCCCAATCTCACCTGGTCCCGTCTCTCTGTGGCCTCATGCACCTTCACCTTCAGCTCTTCTTGCTGGAGGGGGAAGGAGGGAAGCACAGCACCCATGGGAGCCCCCAGACCCACACTGTGCCAACCCCCAGAGCCACACTGTGCCAACCCCCAGACCTACCCTGTGCCCCAACCTGCCAAGGAGCCCCCAGACCCACACTCTGCCCCAACCCCCCAGACCCACATTGTGCTCCCAGCCCCCCGGGACCCCTGTACCTGATTCAGCCGTGCCTCCAGGGCTGTCCTCCCACAGTGCAGCAGCTGCTGGCCCCGGTGTAGCTGGGCCAGAGTGGGGGGCACAGCCTCCTCCAGGGCCCCCAGAGCCTCCCCATACCTCGACTTCAGCTCCCGCCAGCGCCTCCGAGCCTGCGCCGCCGCCTCGCCTGGGGGGAGCCCCACATCAGCCCCCCAAAAAGGGAGGAACTCCAAAAGGGACCTGGGAATCACTGATCCCTCCCAAAGGGGTCCAATGAACTCCCAAACCAGACCCAGGAACCCCCAAAGAGGACTCAGATGTATGGAAATCCCCAAATATCCCCTCAGCTCCCTCCTGAGGCGGACCTAGGAACCCCCAAAGGAGACCCAGGAACCCCCAAACCCCTGGCCCAAAGTGGACCCCAGAACCCCCAAATCCCTGCCCTAAAGGAGACCCAGGAACCCCCAAACTCCTGCCCCAAAGTGGACCCCAGAACCCCCAAACTCCTGCCCCAAAGGAGACCCAGGAACCCCCAAACCCCTGCCCCAAAGGAGACCCAGCAACACCCAAGGTGGACAAGAAAGGTCAAGGGGTTTTGGGGTTCAGGGCAAACCCAGGAGTTCTGGGGGCTCACGCAGGCTGAGGGCAGCTCTGGGTTCAGTTTGGGGGCTCAGGGGATTTTGGGGTTCAGTTTTGGGGGCTCACGCAGGTTGGTGGCGGACGGGAGCAGCCCCGGGTTCTCGATGACCCCCAGGAGCAGTTTCAGCACCCGGAGCTGGGACAGGAGCAGCTTCTGCTTCCGCCGGGTGTCCTGGGGGGCAGGTTTGGGGTGTCACAGGAGATTTGGGGTGCCAAGGGGGTTGGGGGAGGGCACAGAGCAGGTATTAGAGGTATGGGGAAAAGTGGGGTGTGGAAGGGACAACTGGAGGGACAAAGGAGAATTTTTTTAGGAAAGCAAGGGGTCAGACAAGATGACAGGAAATAGGGAAGTTGATAAGGTTTAGGGGATAAATATGGGAGTTACTAAAAGAATGAAGGCCAGATACGGCAGCTGTGAGAAACTTGGGGGGCCAGAAATAATTTTAGAGCAGATGTGGGGGTGTTAGGGGGAAAATAGGGAGGTCAAGAAAGCTGTGGGGCAGACGTGGGTGCTGCAGGTCTATTCTGAGGTTCTGTGGGGCAGTTTTGGGGTCTCACCATCTGATGTTCCATCAGGACCCGGGTGGGGACATCACCCTCCTCCTCCTCCAAGGCCAGAGCAGCCTCGAGCGCTGCCAGCGCCCTGGGGACATGCATGGAGACACGGGTGGGGATGGGGGGGACACCCCCCAGACCCCCTCCAGAAACGAGGAGATCCCCCCGATACCTCGCAGTGACACGAATGGGGACATGGAGACAACCAGGACCCCTCCTCGGACACTCGTGGGGTGCCGGGGACCCCCGTGGGGATGAGGAGACCCCTCCGCGACCCCCTCCTTCCCCAGAGCCCTCAGGATACGTGAGGGCACGGACACACTGCAGGGCTGGGCGTCACCTCAAGGAGCCCGTAAGGACCCGGTCACCCCTCAGGGACCCCAATGGGGATGAGGAGGTGACTCCAGGGACCCCAATGGCACCCGGTGAACCCCCCGAGGGCCCCACAGGGCCTTGGGGGCCGCCCCCGATTCAAGATGGCGACCGGGCAGCCCTCAGGGGTTCCCGCCGTTGGGGGGGGGGGGGCCCCCGGT